TACAGGCCCTGGTAAAAAGTCTCTCTCTGTCTCTTTTACAAAGCCCCCTTTAGTATTGAAAGGCCACAACGAGGTCTCCCTGGAGTCTTCTCTTCTCCAGGCTGAACAACCCCAACTTTCTCAGCCTTTCCTCATAGGAGAGGTGTTCCAGCCCTCTGACCATTTTTTGCAGCCCTCCTCTGGACCTGCTCGAGCAGGTCTGTGTCTGTCTTGTGTTGGGAACCCCAGAGCTGGATACAGTACTCCAGGTGGGGTCTCACCAGAGCGGAGTAGAGGGGGATGTTAATGTTAAGAAAATGTTAATATTTATAGTGTGGGTAGTAAGTAGTTACTGTGAACAACAAAAAATGGTGAATCAACTTTTTGACAATGGGAATTTCTGCTAGGTGGAAGGCTGCATGGCCTTTTTCATGCTGTTGTTTACTCTACTTTTTCCTTTCTTGCAAGTTGAAACTCTAAGCTAAATTCTTCTCTGGCATTGTCAGCATAAGCCCAGAGGTCTTTGGAGAAGCTAATTCCTTTGGCTTCTCCCTGCTGCATCACCCAGAATAATACTATAGTCTATATCTTTAAGCAGCATATGCTGTTTGTTTTTTATCGCTACTCCAAACAATTGTACTGGATTGTATTTCCACCTCTGTCGTCTTATGAAGAAATTGCAGCTGAACAGTTAACGTCTCCCTTCACTTGAGCTTATGTTTTTCTGGATAGTGAATTAGAGGCTCCTTACAGTTTACTAATTTTGCTTTTAGCATTATGTAACCTGTACCAGGTTGTAAGTACATAATATAAGTTTGATAGTATGTTCCTTTATAGCTCATTTTACAGTCCTTGGCCTATTCCACTTCAAAATTCTCATAAGCAGTGTTAAGTTGGCCAAAATACACACTTCATGTTAATTAAATCTCTTAAATAGAGTCTAATTTTCTTCCTTCTCTTGAAGTTGGTGAGAGATTAGTAATAAAAGAAAATTAGTTGGTTGATAGCATCATGTATTTGATCAGTGCAGAAACAGGATAACCGCCTCAGGTATATGGTGAACTCTTCATTCCTGTGTGAACATTCAACATACTAAAAGCTGAAAAAATTATTTGAACATTTATCCTGACATTTATCCTGACAAGATAATTTTATAGAAGATCAGAATTAACAAACTGATGAAGTGCTAGAACATGTAATGTATACATTTTAAAAAAGTCTTATTTCCTTCATTGGGTTTGCTCCCGTTAAAGTTTACTTTCAGCTGAAGTGCAAGTCTTGAAAGATTTGTAATTGATATTGCCGGACCTAAGATTTTGTTTGAGATGACTCCTTCTAAAACATAAAACCTAATTTGACTATTGCTAATATGGGGTTTTGAGACTAAATGGTTAAGTGTCCATTTCCTCTCCTGACCTCTTGACTCAGGCAGTGCAATTGTAGTGGGCAACAAGTCAGTAAAACAAAATTATCTTTTTTTCCCTCTTAAGATGAAGAAAGAAAAGTTTTTCTGTGAAGGGTAATTGAGAGCATCCTGAGAGAATAAAATGTTGGGTGTTGATGAAAAGTAAACGTACTTCATCGTATCTAATGAAGTTGCTGTCCTAGTTTTGTTTGCATTTCTGTCTGCAAATGTTTTCAAAGAGGTTTAACTTTCTCAAATTTATAAGATACTCCTGACTTAGGTCTTGGTTTCTATCTTGTTCTTGTGTTTTGGCAAGAACTCTGTGTCACAATTTGTAGCTTCCAATAGGCATGGGGGCCATCCAAAATAGTTTCCATTTCCCACTGAGGTGCGTTCTTAGAAGAACTTTTCCAATCCAAATAACTGGCATTTATTACTTTCTTTTAATTGCTTAGGGTGGTACTTGCTTACATTTGCTGTTTTAATGTCTTTTCCTGTCTGTAAACTGAGAGCCCCAAAGGGCACATGCGTGCAGTCACTGAATTCAGTTTACATAGCTTGATGGATGTTTTGGGAAAAGCAGATTGTGTATATGTGCTGTTTGTCACAGATGGTGTCCCAACAAGAAAAAAAGTTGTGCTAATGCTGAAGGAAAATGAAATGAAAGTAAGTAAATGAAATAGCAAAAAAAGGATGGCCTTAGGGTTTAGCATCATTTTTTCCAGCAGCTTTGTGGAAAGCGGTCAGTATGGCACATGTATGCTTGAGCTCAGCAAAGGTTCTCAAGTTGCACTATGTAGGCAACAAACAATGGGCAGGGGAAATTTCTCTGCACAATTTTGCTCCTCTGGATATTACCAGTGTCCCAATTTTAAGTCTAATACTTTTTTTGGTGAGCTTTTTGTGAAACCTGATCATGTGAGTAGGTAAGGATCTTAATTCCATATTAAAAAAAAAAAAGTATATTGCTAGTCTTTGAGATTGCAAAGAAAAATCTTAGAAGATGAAAGGGTTCTGAAGCTTTAAAAAAAGTGCCTTTTTTAGGTAGGCAAAACACAGACATTTCACCCCTAATAGATTAACTTATGTGGGTCATTTTTTTTATTCAGTTTTGTTTTAGGGGACCTGTGAATTTGTAATGATTTTTAGAGCTCACTAGAATCACACTGTCAATACCAGAAAATAGTTTGAGTCCCGTGCCCGTACGGGAATGCAGATCTCAACTCCTTCCCCTTCTGGCATACAGAAATGAGGAAGGGGGTTCATTTTTCAGAGTTCAGGGCTGTTGGTGGAGGAGAAGAAACAGGACTCACTTTATGCAGCGTATCGCTGAAAACCAAGCTGATATGCGTTATGGACCTGCAGTTAGAGTCTGCATTTAGGTTCGGTCGAGGCGGGCTAAGCTGTATGGCAAACTGTTCTTTGCACTGCTATAAATCCTAAACGTCCATAAATCTCCAATCCATGCCCTTCCCGCTTTTAGCCCTCACTGGACTATTACATTGCTGAAGTCCATTCAGTAGTCTAAGATCCTGAATTAGTTTTTAATTACCCCTTATAAAGCTTTTCTTCTGGGTTGGTTCTGCTGCCTCTCGGCTTGCAGCTGAACTGGTTACATGAACAGTCAGATTAACTCTGGTCCTTCCCTTGCCGTTTAGGACTCCTCAGTGGGCAGACCTCTCCGACCAACACCAAACTGGAAAAGCTGGACCCCCAGCAGGTGCTGCAGCTGTGTCTCCGGTACCAAGATCATCTTCACCAGTGTGCAGAAGCGGTTGCCTTTGATCAGAATGCGCTCGTGAAGCGGATCAAGGAGGTACTGCCCGCGGCATGCCGGCTTCTGGTGGGGAAGGGCTTGGGGCATCGGTGTGGCCGTCTTGCTCTATGAATGCAGGTGCTTGCTGTAGATGGCCTTGGGTCACTTGCAGCAGTCCGCTTCAAAGTAAACCCTGTAGAGAAACTTTGTGAGTGTGCACTTCAAGCAAAGTTTCCTGGCTTTGATTGTGGTTACTGTTAGGTGATGTGTTTATTGGTTATGCTCTATAATTCCTGGTTGTAAACAGTGGGTGTTCCTCTGGTATGGCAAGTACTGCAAGTAACTATTGAAGAAGTAAAAGCTGACTGGAATTTTTAAAGGTAACATTCCTTATTTAGATCTGTATGCTTAACATTTTTATTACACATCATCGTTAAGCTCTAATGTAACAAAAGAAATGGTTATCATAACCTCTTCTATGGTTGGAGAAGGTAGTATTTCTTTCTTTCTTCAATGGATTTGTAGAGCTAGACTGTTTTCAAAGCCCATAACATGCTGTCTCTTCTCTGATCCATATGGCTGCTAAAAAAGATCTTCCTGTGCTGCTGTTTTTACCACTAAACCATCATTTGAAAATCGCTGATCTGTTTAGTCAGTGATACTGTTGGGGAGGAAATTAGTTCCTGGGCCAAGGATGCTGCAATTGAATTGTCTTTCTTATGTGTGTAACTACGGATGTTGGAAGCAGTAGGATGGCTGACAAATTTAATTTTTTTTTTTTTTTTAAAGTCAAGACAGATTGGCATGAGAGGAGAGTGTTTTCTCACGTATTCTCAGATGTGTAGAAGAACTGGTGAATGCTGCATATGTCAAAAGTCTGTGAGACCAAATACCTTTCAATGTCAAAAGAAAAATTTTTGAACAGGTGGTTAATTTTTATTCATGTAATAAACAATGACCTTGATTCGTTGTTGCTATATTGGCTTAGAGTTAAGAAAATCCCACATGACAAACTGGATAATAAATTTGATTCATGGGCTGTTTTGAGAAGCTGCTGTCATCATGAAGTTCTAAGTCCAAAATAATGTGGGAGCCATTAAAAAGGCCTTTTTACTTTGGTGTATCAAGATCTGAGGCCAGCTATTACACAAGATGTAAAGATATTTGCAGATGTTGGTGACTGAGATCACACAATCTCAGAAATGGGGTTTAATTGCCAGTCTAATGACAGTGTACTGCATTAATCCAAGCAGATTTGTAATTCTTTTGGCTGTTAAAGTGTGAGAGAGAATATCGACATGATTTAAAGTCGTGGTAGACTCTACCAGTGCAATCTGCACTAGTTGGATTTGCCTTCTATAGGGCAAGTGGCAGACTGTCTTTCAAATTAGCATTGGTGATGTTTTCTTCCAGTTCATAAGGCTTACGATTTTTTTTCCATGTAAAATAAATACAATTATGATACCGATATTGTCACTGACTTACTTTATCACAGGCTCCTCTCTGACAAAGTGAAGGAGAAATGGGTGAGACTGTAACTCAGGCAACTGACAAGTCAGTTGGGGTTTTTTTGGTCAAAACACTTAAGTATATTCAGATGCTTTCAATCCCTCTGCCAGATCTGGTGGGTTTTTACTGTTCATTTTCCTAATAATTTTTAAATGTTTTTCTTGCATTGGCTGTTCCGCGTGTGTGTTCTGGAGGAGCCGGGTGGGACCCACTCAGCTTAAATCATTCTTTCCAAGTTGTTTGGGCTCTCCTTGGTGCACTAAATCGAACCACTGTTGACAGATGTTGACAACAAGGGGTGCAGCTGAATGGTATGTCTCTCGTTACAAGTGTAGACAAAGGAAATTGCATTTGGCTGCACCCATTTGTCAGCAATGATTTAGTTTTGCTGTGTAGACAAAGCTTTGACCCTTCGTAAGGAGTAAAAGTGAAAGAGAAAATGAAGTGTATTGTGAAAAGCATGAGATGGAGAGTAAGTTCTTTTCATCCTCATTTTAGGAGTCAGTATTTCCCTTTTCCTCTCACACTGTAAGCACTGAAGTGTTTTTCTCCCGGTAACAGACTTACCAAGTGATTGATGCCTTTTAACTTTCCTACAAAATGTTGGTGAGCTTCAGTCCCCAATTCCTGCCATTTGTCTGAGGTACGTTCACTTTTCAGACTGTCACTGACTCCACTCAGTGTAGTAATAGTCCTACTGTATAGCATGCTACAGTCATACTGCCTGCAGCCAGGATTTTTTTTAGTCTTTACTTGACAAAATGTCCCAGGGCAAATATCTTTTACTCATTGTCTGTGTGGCCAGAAAAAAAGTTTCCTGGTTTCTGGCAAAACTCAAAAGTACTGTTGTAAATTTACTGGTCCTTGATAACTCGTAATTGACTGTGGTGGTTTGTAAATCAGCACACAATCTGAATTAAAATAGTTCTTAATAGGAAAGAGAATAAGCTAAGGAAAACAAAAATGTTGCATGCCAGTAGTTACTGCAGATCAAAGTAGACCCATCTGTGCGTTCCCTTACTTTGGGGACCAAAACAGTCTAGCTTTGCTCTCCATCCCATTTCTCAGTTTAGCCAGAATTTCTTTGCAGTGTGTTGGCTGGATCCATATCTGCTCCTAAATGTAGAAGCTGTGTGGCTTCCAGGTTGCTGTGACTGTTCTCTCTCAAGAAGAAACACATTTACCCAAGCGTTTCCTTGAAGGGGAAAGAATTGAAGATGTGATTGAAGGTAGTTGTCTCCACTGTCTCTCTTCAGCAGTTACACTTACTTGTACCCAAACTGTTGGTTTTTGGAAGGGATTGATTTTTATCACAATAGGTTTTGTCTTCACTGCAAAAAAAAAAAAAACGTGCTTGCATCTTTTTAGGGAAAAATAACCATTATGCATTAAATACTATGTTTCATATTAATTTTTGGCAGCTGACTCGCCATCTGTTGCAATACTGCATTAATTCCAGGACCACTGAAATATTTAGGATTCTTTTTAATTTTTTCTCCTTATCAGTTTGAAAAACAACAGAACAGCAATTTGGGATTTATGTATGTGTTAATCCAGGGTTATGGCATCTCACAAAATCTGACAGTTTTCAAGAAAAAAAGCCTGTGTGCAGCATTTTCTGGGTAATTTGTCTACTCTTTGGTATTTTGTAGGATGAAAATTTTTAGCTTATTGGATGAATCACCACATTACTGATTTCTGGGGGCATTCTGTTCAGATGGGTCTGGGAACAGGATCTAGTCTGTCTACTGACGGTGTGTTGGACCCATGTGAGCTTGTTATATGTGTACGCTAGGAAAAAGGTGCATTTTTAAAACCCATTAGATAATATGTTATAATATGCTAAGATATAAAAGGCAATTATAACTCCTTACAAGGTTAAACTGATCTTACTGTACCTTGGAGCTTTTAGCAGTGTGTTTAATGATGGGGACAGAGTTGATGATGTGCCTTAGGGAGGATATGATACTTCAGGCTAAAAATCGCAGGGGTGAACCATGACTTGCTAAGCCAGGATAAAACAATCTCGGTCTGCCTATTCTTGCATGTTGTATATTTAAAAAAAAAAAAGAAAAAATCTAAATTAGTGTATATCTCCATGAGGACAAAAAAGCTCAACTGCAGTGTTCTTCCTTTGTTTCTGTGGTGGGGGTGAAAAAAATCTAAATTAGTGTATATCTCCATGAGGACAAAAAAGCTCAACTGCAGTGTTCTTCCTTTGTTTCTGTGGTGGGTTTAGTGTCCTAGCTGTAGACAGGAGGTCTTAACTTGCTGCATCCCACGTCTGTCTCTTCCATGACAATGTCAGAGGTCTGTGTTATAACTAGTTTGAAGTTTTGAGCATCTCCAGCTGCCGTTGGATTTGAGAGCTGCGTGTGCTCTCTTCGCCAAGATTGTCTGCCTCAGTTTTGCGATCTGCAAAATGGAGGGTTTCTGTCAAGATTAGTTTGAAGGCAAATGTTGCCCAGCACTAAACGTTAGGTATGACTGGGGGGAAAGAAGCAAATGAAGCAGGGAGGGGGCTACTTTACATTAAGTCCTTATCATTGGAGGATATATCTTTTGGGTGGCAGGGAGAGAATTTGGAAAGTCATCTGATAGGGGATGGTGAATAACAAGGAATGGGAAACAAGTAGGATAGGTAAAGGCTGGGGAGCAGAGCTAAATTTTCAGAAAGGGCCCATGATTTTCTCTGCCTCCAAAATTGTCTAGTTTCAATGTCTTAAAAAAGATTTTTTCATGTGTTAGATGCTAAGCTTCTTAAAAATCACATCCTTCAAAATAGCTGAAGCTGAGTATCCAAAAATTACTAGTCTCACTTGAAATTTAAGCCTAGCTTCTTTCTATGAAAGCAAAAGGGAAGCTGAAAGCCATCAAAGGTCCTTTCAAAGGTTTGAAAGAAAAGGTCTCCAGCATTTCTTATTAGACTTCCAATGTTGGCAAAGGGGATGTGCTACTCGAAGTCTCCTATATAACCTTGAAGGCAAATGTAGTTCCTAGATTTACTGTGCTTGAAACGTATTAAGTGGATTATTAGGAGGGCTCTTACACTTTGCCCTAAACCCAAATATCAGTGCAGTGTATCTGTAGCTTTTATTGCCATAGGCAACCCAGGCTGACAATAATTTTGAAAACAGAACACTTTTTACAATACAAAATGAAATTAAAAATATCTCAGTCTAAGCTGACACAGGCCTACAGGAAAAAATTACACCTTTTCAAATAATAAACATTACTTTTATATTTTTAACAAATGTGATGGTGGAATAACTCAACAACTTTTGTCTAGGCAGGCATTAATATCAGTAATTGGTTTGCCGTATAGCAAATTAGTGTATGGCTCGTTTCATACCAGTAAATTTCTCTATGGGAATGGCTCATTATTTTGAAGAAATATTCCAGAATAAGATGTGTATGGATTTTTTTTCTTTTTTCTTTACCAGCTTGCTGCAAAAAGTAATTGTAATGGGCTTCTCTAGTATGTAGTTAAGATGTCCAGAAATACAGCCCTTATTAACATTTGGCAAGTAAATAATTTTTGAAGTCATACA